CCGTGGCAGCTTCGCGTTCACGCCAGTCGAGGAACGCCACGTTCGTCCTCGACGGGCTCGATCATTGTTTTAAATCGAGATTGATCTTCTTCCCCGGTTGAAAATGTGACCGTGAAGATTGTCCAACTGGAAACATCCACTCATTCATTGTGTAACATTGTTGTCGTTGTTCCCTTCTTTGCGTTTGAACGCGTGCTTTCTTGCTTCGATAAATCTTCCATTATATTCCCTTGTTTTGCATGTTTCGTTTTACGCTGTTGCGCAAAATGGCGGTTGTTTCTTAAGAAGACGATCGTGGTTCCTTTTGGAAATTTCGATTATGCTAGAATGGTTCAAGGATGAGCATAATTCCCCGGTTTGAACAACGAGGTCTATAGGTTATCCGAGATCTATCATTCGAAGTATGAAATGGAAACTCCTTTATTGACGATTTATTCGAGTCACGTAATAAATCTATTTTATTTTACACTTTCGACCTTTGATTGAATTGCTTTTAAATTTTATATTAATATATAATGTATAAGATTAATATATGTAGAGAGTTTGATGATTTTTATTGAAAAATCGTTTCGAGTATTCAAAAGTGAACGAAAATAAAATTCGAGACTTTTCTTATTTTTTCGCTCCCTTTTTGGACAAGGGTAGATAACACGTTAAAATAGAACAAACTGCAAGAGAAGAATTATAGTATTTTAGAAAAAAGATGATACGAAACGATTGAAAGAGAGAATGGCTTACATAATATGAAGCACGCCAACTGGATCATCGGTACAAAGCATCCTTGCGCCAGAAGAATTGGGAAAAGAATATTTCCACAGATCGATCCTATCCTTCCAACCATCATTACGAAACTCACTGCGATCGCCCTAGTTTTTTAAAGAAAAATTTTCATTCTATCTTATATTCTTAAATTTCAATTTGGATATTTATTATATTTAACCTTAAAGAAGTTGGGAACATGATGACAGTTGCAGAAATAATGATATTTTGAGTATTATTCGTGAATCCAATGAAGAAACTTGACAACAATAACGTTAATAATGAATTAGACGACCAATAGAGGCTAATTATACATATTAACGATATTCCGTAACAAATAACTGCAATCAACAATATCAATATTATCGTTATTAAATTAATTTATATTACAAAATCATATGACGAATTCTTACCTAATAAGATTTTGTGTCTCAAGTAATTCAGTATGAAGCTACTTGAGAGAAGAAAAAAGCTTCCTAAAGTAGATATAATGATTGTGTTCACGTAAACAGACTCGTTGACAACAATCTAGAATCATACAAAAAATAATATCATGTAATGATGTAAATACAGAATTAAATTCGTTAAAAATTGTAAGAATCATCCTACGTTTTTACACGTCGCGTTTTCTACAGTGTTTTCAAAAGCATTCAAAGAGGTTGAGAAATCCAAAATTTCGCAAAATGTAGATTCGTGTTCTGCTGTTAGATTGTAATTCAATGGGTCGAAATTTTCTAGAATCGTGAACAATTGGGGTTGCCACAATCGAAAGGTGTTGGTTCTATAAAATACAAAAAAATGAATAATTACAAATTTAATTTATTACTTGCTTTTTTTGGAATGCTATTTTTTGATAAGATTATTATTTCTTCACTTTGTTTCTCACGTTTTGATTTATTTATTATCTCCGTTTTACGTCATATCACTGGTAAACGTCATATACTTATCCGTTTTCTCGTTCCTTTATTACGATGATCTATATAACAACGTATTTATATAGATAAAACGAGTACTCGTCATATCACATACTGAAGAATTTAGAATTTAGTTTTTGATATCTTAATTGATTTTTAATAACAGTCTACTTTTAGAAATTAAAATAACACTATTATATACCATAAGTAATTATTAATATAGATAATAAAAGAGAAAACTTACGCAAACATTGAACCAAATTGCATGACAATGACCGAAAAAAGTCGAGACAAATACGGATTGGTGAAAATTGCTTTCTTCTTCATATTTCCATCGTGATCAGCATTACTCGATTCTTCCGTGGAAGGAGGATCGTTTTGTAAATATTGAATCTTAAATATAAATCGTCATCATATAGATTTAATTATTTTTTTTGAAAAATATATATACTTAAATCATTCAAAAAAAAATCATAGCAATCTATTAATATAATCATTCCATAGGATATTCTCACCGGATATTCTTCCGCCGGTTTTCCCGTGTTTATGCTGTAAATCCTCTGGAAAACTTTCAACGCATCGTCCATACGATCCTGCGACATGAGAAACTTTGGACTTTCCGGAAACATGAAGAGACAAACAACACCGATCAATATTGGTATACTACAGGCAGATAAGAAAAATCTCCAAGAATTGTAGACAAATGCTCCGTCCCAAAGAACGATGGACCACTTTTGAGGAATGATGATCAACGCGAGCGCTATAAAATGAAATGATACAACTCGTAAATAAATGTTTTACAATTTGTCGTATATATCGTACCTGAGCTCACGATATTTCCAAGTGTGATGCTGAAACCGATCAGCAATGGTATTTTCCCTCTTCCTTTGTCTCCATAGAATTCAGAGGAGTACGCCACGATGGAAGCATGAGGACCGCTTATACTGACGTGAGATAATTATTATTGTTATCTTTAATAATTAAGATTAAGATCTCTTTCGAACTTACATGAAACCGCTAAGGAATTTAAAGAATAACAGCATCCAAAAGTTTTGCGATAATCCTGACAAAATGTTACATATACCGTCAGCTAGATAGCCGAAGAGGAAAACGGTTCTTCTACCTTTGATATCCGCTATATAACCCCATAGAGGACCGCTGCAGACCATTCCTAAAATAATTTCAATATTAGAATAAAGTATCTTCGCGCGTGAAAAGATGAGAATATACGAACCTACGTATACGATAGCGGTTAGGACACCTTTTTGATAGAAAGTTATTTGTAGATCGCATTCTGCAGAAGGAAGAATGATCCCAACACTGGAAGTGTTAAGGCTTGTTGACCATGACACAGGAATAATTGATAGAAGAAGGAAATACTGAAACTTTCCATAACCAGCTGCGGTAATGGCTCTCTCGAAATTTGCAGACTTCTTCGTTTTATTTTCTATATCTGTTGCTTTACAAATAAAATTTCTTTACGAAAAATCTTCTCGTGTGTTATAATTAAAATATTTATTTTTTTCTGAAGAAAAGTCTCACTTGAATCAATTTTATTCTCTTCTGTTGGTTTATCTGGAAGAGTGACGATACTAATTGTACGTTCGTCCGACATTCTTGTAATTTTATCAGATTGTCCGTGATTTTAAATGATTTACACAATGCGAAATTCGCTTGAAACTTGCTTCTCGTAATGTTGTATACGCCTTTACTAGTCGTTTCTGGATTTAATTGTCGGAGATACACCATATCTCACAACGATTTAAATTGAGCGAACTGATGTAAACTACACGAAGTGTTACCGTGACACAAGCAATAGTTAAGATATTCACAAATAATTTTATCTCGTAAAAAAAATAATTTATCACCAACGTTACATTATCATTGACGTAGTCGTAACGTAGTAATAACATAGATCAATTAATAAGTGATAAATTTTATAAAAAGATTTGTTTTATTTTAAAATAATTATAAAATTTATGCATTATCAATTACAGTCTTTTTTTCATTTATGCAAGAATATTAAGAAAAATAAAATTATCGCGATGCAAAATTAAAACATTACCTTCTATTATCTACGTTGAATTCTTTGTAAATCCTTACGAATTAATTATATTATTTTTTATATTTAAAATAATATAAAAAGTTTATATCGTCACAATCTGAATTCTATATCTGAATTCTATAAAATTACATATTTATAAGAATATTCTAAAAAATATATTCTAAAGAAATCAGGTCATTGAAATCAAGATTATCCTAAATTGATCGAAATACATTAATTCAAAGTAATTTAGATTAGATTAGACTATTTTGAAATCGCTTAAAAATCGTTTAAAAATGATTAATAATCAATATAGTTTTTAATATGTTATCTAAAGGTTATTACAAGATTATTAAAACTCATTCTAATTTGTAAAATCAGATGGATTCAAAAAAATTTAAAATATCTATTTCGTTTAATTAAAAAATAAAAAATAAATTGTAATAAAATATATTGATGATAATTTTCTTATAACTATTTGAATTATATCACGATAAAAATCAATATAAATATGAGTTAATATCGCGAAATTATAATTATACAATTTTTTATTCCAATTTTCTTTTTTTTGTTATTATTTTTTTCTATTTGTTCTCGTTTTCTCCTTTGTCGTTATTATTATTATTATTTAAATTAGGAATTCTTATATTGAACTGCCTATTCAAAAAATGTTTCAATCTCTTCTTTATTATAGAATCTATAAGTGAGATTTCTTCAAACATTACTGAAATCATATAATATTTTCTTCTCAATTTTAAAAATGAATATTTCAACAAACAAATACAAACATAACTTATTTTTATGTTTTGATCATGTTAGATCATTTTGCAAAATTTATCTAAGAATTGATATCACGTTGGCACTAAATCAGAACGTAATCATATATTGTGCACATTCAGATAAATAATTGCACAAATGAAATGGAAAAATCGAAATTCAAAATCTATAAATTATACGTTATAATCAAAATGAGTACAAAATATTTTCAGAAATGAATTTTCTCGTGGTAAAAAGAATAGGGAACAAACAAAAAGAATGCTTTGTTCAGGATAGCATTCTTTAGCAATGCAATTGGATAACTTCGCGTTAACGATCAACAAATTGTAGTTATTTTTTTTAAATCGCGGTAACTTACACGCTTCGCGTATTTTGACAGCAACTTTTGTTCTTTTGTCTTGGGCCGATACAGGAAATATCATGTCCACCCTGACCTTATATCCGCGATACCAACGGCCAGATATTCGTTGAAAACGATTGAAGCTCCTGCGAAATTAGTAGCCATTGTTCTCACGAGAATCTCGATTGATGATACGAAAAAGAATCCAAAAAATTGTAAGAATTTTAACGTTTCACCGAATTGTTGCCAAAGTTCTATCCTTTCCTTTCTCTTTCATTTTTCGTAACAATTATTTCGATCTTTGATATTTCTCAATAATTCTAACAATTTTTCTAGATAGTATTTCTGATAAAAATGATTAATATAATCTGATTGTTAAATGTTATCTAAATTTCTAATGTATTCTAATGTGTTCTTTTTTCTCCATGTATAATAGTTTGCTTTCGAAACGTTAAATCTTAAGCATATTTAACTAATACAAATGAATTTTCATTTGTACACTCATCGTCTGCAAATGTGCATATTTACCGAAATAAATCTCTAATAAAATTTCTCTTCATTTCATTAGCATGTATGCATATATGCACGTGATCTGATAATCGCATTAGACGTATTATTATATATAATGATAACACCATTTCTTATAATTTAATTTTTATTCAGAAACTCCCACAAGTACATTTCTTAATATCAAATAAATATTAAAATATTAAATCTAATTATTACTACAATCAAATCAATAATACGATTCCATCATTTTTCTTTTGGTTTTTGAGTCGTATCTGACGATAAAGACGAAGAGTCATTTTTTGTTTCTTCATTAAATTGATTGCCGTTGCACTGTACTTCCTCTTGTCGATATTCCAACGAGTGCATGTACTTCGACACCTTGATTGAAAATAATTACAAGGTCATTTAGTCGCAAGAACGCGAAGCTCGTTACTATGGATTAATTAAAATTTTTTGTTTTAAAACTCGTTGGAATCGATGTTTCGTGACCTACTTTTTAAGCTATTCCGCTACGATTCCTGAATTTAAAGCGAGAAATGAGAATTTTTCGTACGCAAGTGCGTATATGCATAATTATGCTAATATTTCATATATGATCTTTTTTTCTAATTAGGATAAAAATTAATTAGGATAATAGTTGATTGGCCAGTTTAAATATCGATGGCTTAATAATCAAAGCCAAGGAATTTCATAATATCACATGGCAGACTAACACGTACATATATCTTAATATGAAACGAGAGGAACACGTTCGATCGAGGGCACAGGAAATGCTGCGATCTTTCCTTCTTTCCTTTTTTTTTTCCTTTTTCTTTTCCTTTCGCGTTTATGTGTAGAGAAGACAGGCAAGTATCATGGATATGCACATATATACACGAGCATTATCGCGTTCCTAGGTTTAATACGCATACTTGCCATTTAACCGCGGTAAGAAATGGTTTCTGTTATTCAACGGCGCACGTTTGATTTCGATCTAATGTTTGCGATCTTTCCGGCATCGAATCTAGCGGGATTCGTAGCGGTAAAGGACGATTAATATAAGCAGAAATCATACGTCAGGATAATCAATTTTTATCCCAAAGAACTCGGTCAGAGACGGAGAAAACGATGATGCGACTTGTATCCGATAAGAAGATTTGTATCGGTTATGTGTTTCCTTCGTAACAACATTGAAAATTAATCGTTTCACGCCTTGGATCGATAGTACAACGCGACACCGTGTACTTTCATAGAAACGTTAAGTCATCGCACAATTATTCTAAAAGAGGTTAATTGCCACGAAGCAAAGATAACTAGCGTTCATACATTTCTTTTGTAATCACTTGTTTTCTATCGAATTGCTGTGAAAAAATTTGTGAAACATATTCAACATTTCCGTTTCGTGTCGTTAATTGATATCATACCGCTTTTTGATCCCGTTGTACTCGATTGAAATTCGAATGTTTCGTATGTGTCGTTACGCGTATTGTGAAAATGTTATTAATTGTTGTTCCACAGGAGCAATATACATATAAATCGCCAGTCGAATAGGTACAACGCATCGCGTGATATGAACATCCGATATCTGAACACGCATCGGCGATGCAACCACGCTGGGGCGTGTAAGATTTTATACACGTGAGCAAGGAAGCACGTGAAACGAGGAGAAATACCAAGGGAACACCGAACTCTCAAGAAAGTTTCATCGGTATGATAATTAATTGTGCATTGACCGTCATAAATCTCTCTCATCTAGCCGCGTATTAAGCGAAATCTTTTATGTGAAACACTTTACACGATCAATGTGCACCCTAATGAGCGAACTCGACGCTATGAATTAATGACACGGGTGTTAGCGAGTTATTCCGATAAAGCAGCTTGCCAACAATTAAATCGAACGATGATTCATAACTTGGTTAAATTTGTATGATACGCTATGTTTTGTTCTTGATGCATATTGCTTTTTTTAAGAATCGGTGATTAATCAGTTATAATACAGGTATGAAGTAATTTTATTATACGGAATAAATGTTTAATTACTTGTTCTTCGTATTTCAAGTGACCCTTAAATATTCCAAACGAAATTAAGCCAATAATGGTCGTGAGGATTAATCTTTGTACCTGAACTTTGTCGTAAGGCCACTTAACCATGATATAACTGAAATGATTTGGCATGATTTTTAGATAAATAGTAGTAAATATATGTATATATACTTTTTTTATTCGTAAATATATAATAAAATTCTTACTTTTAAAAGCATATTATTCATAATATTCATTTATATTGAATATTAACGTTTGATAAAATCAAAAATTGATTTTACAATAGACTTAGAATTTATGTCTTCATCGCGTGACTGAATATACAAGTCTTGATTAATTTCGAGATCGATATCGTTACTCTCTACTGTTATGTTCAGTGTTATAAATTTAGAAGCATAAATATACGAAATTTTTATTTGTAAATAGAAATTAAAATAGAATGTTGCGTGTTTTCGAAATCATACAACATAAAATATAAAAGATTATAGCTAATGATATAAATTGCATTCAATACTAATCTCGTATGCATAATGACTTTATCGTAATCCTCAATGTCGTTCAATATCGTGTTTATGGGTTCATTGATAAAAGATACACAGACAGGCATGCGAAATTTCACCGTTATTTATATAACGTTATACTTCGTCATTAGTTTTCTATACTTTTTTCTGTTTCTGATTCATGAAATAATCTCTATTTCAAGCTGAATATAGTCATCGAGTTATATTCGTAATTTTCCGATGAAAAAACATCTTCATCTACCAATCTACTGCTGGTAAAAATTGCAAAAAAAATTTTTAATAAAATTTCTATTTGTAATAATAATTATTTGATATTTTCTTTATGTTAATGCTGTTTTTGAATTACTAAATCGATAACTCTTAATCATATATAAAAATGCGTAGATAATAAATCGTTAAAATACGTGATTGCAATAGAGGCGCCTCGAGGCACGTATAGTTTCAAATTTTGTCGTAAGATGGTGTTAAAATCGGAACAAGATGGCGTCCGGTCAATAGACGAATAGCAGGGAGGCCGGAGGCGCTCTCGAGGTTCGTGGGTGTTCTCAGCCCGGAGCTGGAGAGCCTTTAAGGCTGTATATCATTGACATTTTTTTCTCTATCGAAGTGAAATGGTCGACACGCGAGTGAAATGAAAAATGTTCCATAAAGAAGTGCATATTACGTATGCGTCGGCCTGAATGTGCCGTGTTTCTCGAACTCGAAAGATGCTGCCGTATAAAGCGACGACAGAGAAGGCGCCTTCGCGAAACTGTCAGGAAGATCGTCGTCGTCGTACGTGAGTCAGTGCGCTCGGTGGATTGAAAGAAGGCACGTACGTACAAAATGGCTTCGGGCGACAATGTGGACGTGATTGAAGTGGTTGAGACAAGCTTCACTGGCCCGGTACAGGCCACAGAGGATCATCTCCGACCGGAACAGTACGCGGACGAGGACAGTGAGTAGCCCTTACCTTTGTTAAATTCTTCGTCGTTTTGACCAAGTGTCACGACCTAACCTATAAAAATAGCACGGTTCCAGACGACTATAACGCGAGCATCGTTTCTTTTGGTGTTAAGGGATTTGTGCTGCGAGACACGACGGAAAGATAGGCGTGATCGATCGATTGTGGCCGATCGGATTTTCATTTCGCTTCCGCATGCCCGCGTTCCGTCCTTTGTTAAGTCGGCAACCGAACAAACAGTGTATGCTCTTTCAGAGCTATACTGTGATTAATCCATTTCGTTATTTGACAGCTGATGGGTGTCACCCATTGCACTGTATAGTAATGTTAACCTTGTAAAAAATGTATAAGAAATTCTTATTTCTTTCAATTTTTCTCTTCTTTCATTAAACGATATATAAAATCATTGTTGACACTTCGAAAATATATATGAATTTTTTTTCCTTTTTCTTTCATATTTCAACTGACGTGAAATTGATTTTATTGAACAGTCTGATAGAATGTGAATAAAGCTCGAAAATTTGTTAACATTGTAACGAAAGTTTTCAACGACATTTTCAAACAGAAAAGTTGAATGAAGCTATGAAAACGCCTTGATCAAGGATTGAAATTTAATGATAACGGGAATAACGGTATCAAGACACATGTGCAATAGTGAATCCACACCGCAATCAGCGTGGCACGACTTTCGTTTTTGAACTCGGTTAACGTTCCACTTTCTCGCTTCTTTCCGGGAATACATACGATTGACTCGACCGGTCACTTTAAGCGTGCGATTTTTTCTTTGCATGCGTTTGCATCCCTCCAATTCTAGCATTAGAAACGGGACTTTCGTTCGTTCGGATACTACGTAATGTATATATATATATATATATAATATATATTATCGTGTATATAGAAGTCAAATGTTATATGATCTTATTTTGTGTAACAAACACGTTATTTTCAATGTGTTACAGATAAATCTACAGGGGATAAAGTGACAACACTTGACGTAAGTAAAAAACACAATTCTACATATTTCGCTTTGATATGGTGATAATTGAGAAGAACTGTTCCATGCACGGATATATATAGATATTAATATTGACACTTGTACATTCGACTCGATATACGTCCGACGAGAGAAAGAGATAACTAATAAACAGTTTTACGTAGGCACTACTTATCGAAATTCTTGAGGCTGCATTATTTTAATGATTTTTTAATTTATTTATTTGTAAATTTAATAATTATTAAATATATAAAGTTATTTATATGTAAAATGAATAGTTTTTTCTACCATATCCTTATCTATTTAAAACTAGTATGCACATATAATGAATATAATAGAATGAATATAATAGAATTTGTATAAAACAATACTCTCGTTATTTGTATAACGTGCGTACATGTTTAAACACTTCAAAGCCGTGCACTTTATTTTAAAACAAAAAGAATCAAAATTCGGTAACAGAATAATATTATTAGATAACTAGATAACGGAACTATGCTTCACAGATACAGGTGAATGTTATATAAGAAAAATCCTCGCTATCTCTGCATTATTCTTGCATTTTTCACACATTCACTTCATTCAAATTCATTGTTTCACTTGATAATTTTACCGCGTTCTCTCTGAACAACAATCCAATGATACAAGGTGCATTGATTCCTTGATTTTCTATATAACTATTGATCATTCGTTTGATTCACTCGATAATTTGATCGCTGAGGTCGATTCTATTTTCGTCTCAACACGCGTTAATCGATTTATATCGCGATGATCATTGATATATAAGATATATAACGCATTTTTTAAACCAATTAATCGTCATTCATATTATCATGTGTCGAAACTTTATAGAACAAACATGTAATTATTTTGTCACTTGAAATATTGATTCGATACAATAAGATGTTCGAGTTCAATTTGAGATGTTCAGATGCGTTATGCCATGATTTTTAGAAGCGAGAATAGTTGTGTAATTATTCATTCGAATGACGCATGCCCGTGTATTTCTTCTTCGGGTGTTTCCTCCCGTGGCTCGGTGAACAATAAACATTCAACGGGATATTGGATCGGAGTTTTCATTTACTCAAGTCGAGTAAAATTTAGAAACTTTCTTGACATATTACAGAACACAAACGCAAATAAAATAAATAATTTTAAAATAATATAATATAATTGTCCAAAAGAGTAATTATTTGAAATTTTTCATTGATCTATTATTTTGAAATTATTAAAATTTTAATATTAATAATTTTTTATATATAGTATTGTAATACTAATTTTAATATTAATACTTTTTTTATTGATTGAAGTGTAGTTCCGTAATTAAACGTAGTTATAAATGAATTTTTTTTCTTTTTAAGAATTTTCATATTAAAAATATCACAACTACTTAATGTCACACTCGTTAAAATTGTATTGATAATTGTATATTCTTTCTAGAATTCGGTAGTGCAACATGGCACCATCGGGCCCAAAACCTCTTCGGGGGTATCAAGGAACAAATCAGAACGGGAGAGAAAGATTGGCCATAGAAGAGTTGGAGTGGGAGGTGAAATTACGTACAAAAAGGTATATTATATAAATATAATACGATGGCTTATTATTCCGTTAATAATTTGATGAAATAAAAAATTATGATAAATAAATGTATTTATTTATTCTTCTCTCTAATAACTCAAAAAAATAATATTTATGAAAAAAAAATAATATCAAATTATCTTGAATAGTAATAATAATAATAATAATGAAAAGTTATCATTGATGATCTTTAATAGTATATTAAAGAAATGAAATATTAAATTCAAGAATAAATTAAATATTCTTATATGTTTAGATTCAAACGACACAAATTATGGGATCCATCCAGTTAGGTATTCAACATGCGGTTGGTGGTTTGGCCAGTAAACCAGAACGTGATCTATTGATGCAAGATTTCATGACTGTAGAAACGACAAATTTCCCAAGCGAAGGATCTAATCATACTCCGGCTCATCATTTTTCCGAGTTTAAGTTCAAAAATTACGCACCCATTGCATTTCGTTACTTTCGGGATCTCTTCGGTATTCAACCGGATGACTTTTTGGTAATTTCATATATATAATAATTCTATATTTGTATATAAATATGTTTCTTTTTCCCTCATAAAAGAATTACAAAAGAACACAATCAATTTTTCATCTAATCAACGATGATATTTAACAATATCATTTGAATATTCAGATGTCAATGTGTAGCGCTCCATTACGTGAATTATCGAATCCCGGAGCTAGTGGAAGTATCTTTTATCTAACAGATGATGATGAATTCATCATAAAGACTGTACAACATAAGGAAGGAGAATTTTTGCAAACACTTCTTCCAGGATATTATATGGTGAGCTTTAATATCTTTTCAAGTATTCAGTGATTTTATATTAAGAAATTTAAAATATGAAGAAGATCATTTTTATCTATAGAATCTAAATCAAAATCCAAGGACATTATTGCCAAAATTCTTTGGGTTATACTGCTATCGGTGTAATAGTAAAAATGTTAGACTAGTTGCTATGAATAATCTTCTACCCTCATCTGTGAAACTACACCAGAAGTATGATTTAAAAGGATCGACATACAAAAGAAAGGTTCATAATTTTCCGATATTTATATTGATTTTCTAATATCTATTTTTTAAACAAATTTTATGAAATATACATTTGATCTACAGGCATCGAAATTAGAAAGATCTAAAAACTCTCCAACATATAAAGATTTAGATTTTATGGAACATCATCCGGAAGGGATTTTTTTGGAAGCGGATACATATAATGCTCTAGTGAAAACTATTCAAAGAGATTGTCGAGTTTTAGAAAGCTTTAAAATTATGGATTACTCTTTACTCGTTGGTATTCATAATCTTGACCAGGCTGCAAGAGAGAAAACGGTAAATATTACGAAAATAAAGAAAATATTTTAATTTATCTGTAACAGTATAATATACAATTTTTGATATTATAGCAGGAACAAAGATTACTAACGAGTGCAGAGGAAGAAGTTGGTGAAGTTGGAGGTGAGAGTGCAGGATTCATTCAAGCAGAACGAGATGATAGAATAGGAGCTAGCGCTCTAAACCGATCGCGGAGTATAAATCGACAAAGGTTAGTTGCGCACAGTACCGCTATGGAAAGTATTCAGGCTGAAAGCGAGCCCATAGACGAAGAGGACGATGTACCGTGAGTATCATATTTTTATTTCCTTATGTCACGATTATATACAAAACGAGTGCTCTCATAACGTGATTTTAATTATGTTCGTATTCCTAGCAGTCCAGGTGGAATTCCTGCTCGTAATGCTCGTGGTGAACGCCTGTTACTTTTCCTTGGTATTATTGATATTTTGCAAAGTTACAGGCTCAAGAAAAAATTGGAACATACTTGGAAATCGATGATACACGATGGTGTAAGTTGCACAATCCTTCTTTTTCTATAATTATTAATTTTTGATTATTTAATTTCTATTTATTATACAGATCACATTGAAATTATATACAATCATTCTTTCATTGCGTTTCGTATACTCTAAAGAATGTAAATTGTATTTGCTTGCAGGATACCGTGTCAGTACATCGACCAGGTTTTTACGCGCAACGTTTTCAAGATTTCATGGCGAAGACAGTATTCAAGAAGATACCGTCACGTAAGTACCATCCTAATCAACCTCTTCTAACAAATTTGACCTCAATGTTAACATTGAACAAAGCTCATTCTTAATTTGTAAGCAATTTTTTAATAAGTTCTTACGATTATATTTTAAGTTCATTAATATCGATTGACGTTTCTCCTATTTCGTCAAATCGATTTGGCTATATCTCGTAAAGCATAAAGTACAAGAAAAATTTTAGGCTTTAAGAGTAGAGTAGAAATTATAACGTCAAATATTTTTATCGCCAGCTAAACGTGATTAATTAAATCTTTCTGTTTATAGTAATAGAAACAATTACTGTGATTCAACTACATATTATATAATGCAAT